TATCTCCATCTAAAAAATAAGTTACTTTGAGGCAACCAAAGCACTGTCAGACAAGAGAAGATGCAGGAGGCTAAACTCTGATTCCTCCAGAAAAATATCAGGAGCTGTTATATATCAGAGAATCTAACTACCACTTGGCCCTTTATGGTCTACTATGATTATTTATTTGCTGAAACATTATAGATAAGATGTTATAGATAGATTAAAAAGATAGACAGATTATAGTGGAAATTATAAAATATTAGAAAAGAAAATAATATATAATTCACAGCCAGCATACATAACATTTTTTATTTTTCACATAGGATCTTCTGGATCATTTGTGACACATCATTCAGGAAATATATATTTAAAGCCAAAGTACTCAAATATGTAAGCACTTCTGCTTGTATAATTTAACCTTCCCAAAGATAAGCATGTACTTCATCATCAGTGAAATCATTCTTCCTCTATCCTTCACAAAACATGGTAGCTACTACAAATTTTAATATCAGGAGGAAAAGAGTCATCTGAATAATACATAGACCATCTTTGAACCTCTGACCTTGAACTTGACATTAAATTCTGTCCTTGGACAAGTTTCAGAATTGAGAGAGAAATAATTCCATGTCATACTTGAAACTTCTTTTCATCAGAACTTGGAACTCAACAAATTTTAAACCTTACTGAAAAATGTATATTGTTTATATTTAAGCTAAATATCTGTTCCTGTGCACTGTTTATTCCCTAAAAAAAAGTAATTGACATATATGTTATCTCCCTATCTCCAAATGAAAGCATGTTTGCATTGGACAAAAGAAATCAATTGAAGCTATTTCTATAATCAAACATTCAAAAACTTTGCAAGATTTCTAAGATGAGGCAGAAATGACTGCCATCTCTTTAAAAGGTCATAATTCAATAGAGTGTTAAATACAAATTAATTTTCATTGATCATATTTCACATTGTACATTTATGTTTTGCAACCAGTTGTTCCACATCACGTTGTGTGGAGTTCCTATACTTATCAATATAATTAGAGTGCAGGACTTTGCATACAATAAAATAATATAATAATATAAGATATAATTACAGCATCTAGGGTATTGTTTTCACTGAGTCCCTTCAATTCATGAATATAAGTAGCTGATCATATCAAGTATTCAAGACAACCAAAATACAATTCAAGAAATAGTCATACTAACTAGACTATTAAATTTTAACAATTTAAAATTTGCTGAGATCTTTTGGGCAATTTGATTGGAACTTCACTCATTTGGTTGTAAAATAATATTTCAAACTATTATTTCTATTTAAAGAAAAGATATAAATATAGTCTACTTGTAGCCATAGTCCCCTAAAATATAAAAACCTGCAGTTTTCCTGCATATATTTGTATAACATGGGCGTTTTCCATATTTTAGTCTCCAAATATTATCCAATCATTTCTATAGAGCAGTTTTAAAAAGCAAACATATCTCGGATGGGATCTTTGTACAGTTGTCAACAAAGTGCTGTTTCTCACATTCTTTAGTTTGGACGGTAATATTTGTATTTTCATTAGGCAATATTGGACCAATCTGTGAAAGTTCCAGTTCTCCCTTTCATCTCAGAAAAATGAATATGTGTGCCTACATAACTGGCCATTGGCAAAGACAATTTATGAAAAAGACTTGGAAAGCTACTGAGGACAGAGTGGGCACTTGTATTGACAACTTCTTAAAAATAAATGCTTTCCCTTCCTATACACTCCAGCAGCATGTCTATCTGCTGCAAATACAATAGTAATAACACATTACTTTCACAATAACTCATTATATTACAAATAATGAGGTACCTTTATAATAAGTGTACCTGCCTGGATAAGATGGGGTGACAGAATATATAATCTTTGGACTTTGGCTTGGCCTTTTAAAAAGAATAAGGCAGAGAAGTAAAATCACTTTAACTTAGTCTATTGCAACCATACTAGTCTAATATTAGTATAATATATTGTATAACTCTGTGAAGGGCAAAAATAAAGCAAAGGACTTGCAAAGCTATGGAAAAAAGTTGAAGGCTCAGGGAAAGTGCAATCCATTTGCAAGATCCTCTAACCTTTTAGACCTCATCTAACAAAAAGACTTATCTTAAGGATGAGAGATTTGTCTAAAGGATCCTACAAACCAATTGCTTTACTAGAAAAAAAACTGGATTTCCTCCATTTTAATAAATAACTGAAGAGGAAAGCTAAATCACTGGTGTAGCACAGATATGAAGCTGAATTATGGGGATAAAATCTGTCTATACCAGGAGTGTCAAACTCATGTGGTCCCGGCGATGTCATGTGATGTATTGCGACCTTTCCCCCCTTTGCTAAACTGGGCGTGGGCGTGGCCTGCATGTGATGCATTCAGCCCATGGGCCGCAAGTTTGACACCTCTGGTGTATACAATTGGGATTAATGAAACAATCCATTGCTGCTATAATCTATTTTGCAGAAGAGTTTATTGTGTTCTTTTTCCCTTGTTGTCAGCGTTACTCCATTACATAATTAGGAAAGGAAAACTAAGAGACTCCATGGATTGGAAATCCAAAGTACTTTTACTAATTATAAATGGTA